TTTTCTTTATCCATGTCCATACAAGCCAGCGATTCGATCGTGTCAAAATCAAGTATGCCCCATTTCCACAGCTTTTTTAAATCTTCATCCGACATATTTGTCAACGCATTTACCCACGCCATCTGTTTTACTTCGTCGGAGGAGATGGCGGCATCCAATTCCGCCAAGGGGTCCCTGTCTATAAGATTCTCTTGGATTCTCCCTTTTATTTTTTGTGTCTCCTTTTCAACTAACTGTACCAATGCCTTTACGCTTTCCATCACTTCTTCACGATGGTATGATCCAATACGCCCATACACCAACTGCAGATACCGAAGCGTGTCTTCTTTATTCGATTTTCTCAGGACTTCTTCGGCATCTAGGAAAAGTTGCTTTCGAACTGCACGATCCTTCGCCTTAACACGCTCAAGGACATCATGCCCCTTAACATACACTTCCTTGGAACGGAGCTTCTCGATATCATCGTTCCAGGCATCGTTCATAGTCGACCCTTCCTTGACTGAAGAAGCCACGTTCTCACTTAGCTTCTCTTCGCGTCTCACATGCTCTGAACGCATACGAAGGATTTCTGTGCGGATATCATCTAAAGAAGTCTCAGGTGCCGCCATCATGCCCCCAACACGCAGAGAAGGAACATCCACCAAATCAACGGATTCAGTCTCTTCCTTCTTGGGTGTTCCTCTTCTGCGCAAAAATCGCCGCAAGGAGACACATGCTTCACGTCCACACAATTCCCGACGATACAGTATGAGACGTCGCATATAGCACTGCTTTTTTCTCCTCTCTATTGCCCTTCCTTGAAGAAAGAGAATCGAATTCATGTCAACAACGTTATATAGACACAAGCGTATACATACATACATACATACATACATACATACATATATATACACACACACGTACACGTACACACACACGCGCAAAGAAAAAAGGAGTATGCATAAGTAAGAGGTAGAATGTTTGTTACTAACACCTCAGGCGACACGGACATTGCTGTTTGTATCAGCCGTCATGGTAATCTTTTTCGTGTTGACCACGCGACTTTCCATTGCTTCTAGATCCTTTTTCGCCATTACCAAGTCTTGAATATCGGCAAGAACCAGCAGTGCGATTTCTGCACAGCTCGGATCGTCCTTTGTCTTGACAAACAAAGTCCCCAAAGCCCGCTGAGCATCCAACCACTCTTGCGAAAAGACATACGACAAAGAACCCCCAAAAACACCGCGGGACGTGAATGAAGAACCATCTTCCAGAACAAGCGGACCTGCCCCACACCAACACCTCATAATTTCCCCAATGAGAATCCATCCTTGCTTTCGAACAACTGAAAGTGGATGTTCAATTGCAGCCAGTATGGCAAATGACATGAGTTTTTCACAAAGGGCTGGAGCAATGTGACGAGCTGAAGCCATACACTGAACCACTGTGCCAATGCTCCGAAGTATTTCCGTTGGTACATAGGGATCATACTCACTCAAAAAAGAAAAATGATCATTTTCAGCCTTTTCTAAAAGAGCTGACACAAAAAAAGGGACTACATTTGTCAATAAGCTGCAATATATCCGTTCTTTTCGATCAACTCTTCCTGCTACCGCGCTTCCCCACCGTCTAGTCTCTCTTCCCTCGCTGACTATTATCGACATGGGCTTCGCATTTCCTTCGCGTATAGGAGGATAAATTCGCCTGTTTGTAAGTTTTTCCTTCCAAATATCATGTTTCTGGGAGGCTGCTGCTCCTCCACCTTCTTCTGGTTCCACGCGCACTTCTACCTGTGATAGGTATTTGGCTGCCTCAGCAAGGGCTTTTGCCATTTCAACACGCTGAAAAATACCATAGTGACTTGAGTACAGCATCTTACCAAGCTGACTCAGTGCATTCTCCGGGGCAATAATCACTAGCGATACAATAACAGAGTATCGCAGATCCATCAATTCCTTATGTCGAGATTCTGGTGCATGAATAGTAAGTGACATCAGTGCTGGAAGAAGGGAGGGGATCATGGGGTTAAGTTCCATCCCAACCTTTTCTCGTAGTCTTCGAACCTCGCCATGGACCTTCTGTTCCTTCCAAATACCAAGTTTCTCTTTCAGCTTGTTCAGGGCGTGAAAAAAACCCCGAAGTCCACTCTCTACTGCTTGTTGAACCTCGTGAACTTGGGCATTACTACTCCGTCCAACCCCAATGATTGCGTTATAGGATTCACGCAGCGTCACTAGGACTGTCACACTTTCCTCCAGTTCATCTTGTTCATTCCGTGTTTTCCCAAAGGATGGTAAATGCCCATGGTTCACAATTGTGTCCAAGTTAAACACAACCGTTCCACCAGTTGCCAACGTCCCAGTCTTTTTCATTGTTCCAGCATCCCTCCGACAAAAGAACATGAAGGCGGCATCCGGGTCAAGAGGATACTCTTCATCATCTATGCTCCGACGAAGGAAAAAGGGATCCACCTTGTTGTTTCCGCCCCGATGAGTTCCTATAGGAGTGATCGGCGACATTTCAGAGATTGTCGTCGAGTCCGCCTCGCCTTTCAACCAGTCATTCAAAAGAGATGGAAACTGCTCCAAGCTTGAAAAAGCATTCCTCGCCTCATCATTCCCAACAAAGAAGGTCGCAAAGACCGAAGCCACAGTTATTGCTTCAGTCTTCAGGCTCTCTGCTCGAACCAACTCGAAGCGTAAAGAAATTCCAGCCAAAAGAGGTTGGAGTAATGCACCTGGAAGATGACCTTTTGTATCTTTAACATGGTACTCCTTAATGTGAAGTAGGATGTACAAAATGGAATTCGCCAATGTGGTATTCAGTTCAACAGAGCCCTTTTCAATGAGATCACGAGTACTCCATCTTTGGAAGGCCTCGGCGAATAACCCCATTTCCATCTCGGAAATTGGTACTTCTCCCCTTTCTGAACTGTGAGATACAATCCCTGGAAGAACCTCTCTAAAAATGACGCGCAGGAGGCTCCGTTCAGTGGGTAGATATGAAGTTTCTGTTACGAACAACTCCTTCATTAATGCCCGGGACATGGCCAGTGCTTCCGTAGCCGCTTCTTCATTCTTGTCAGGAATGTTGATCATCTTGATCAAAGATGATATAAGGATAGGCCTCAATCCAGGGTCTCTTTCTGCCACACGCAGGAACCATGTATTCCATTCTGACCAATGTGTATTTGTGTGGAGGTTCACGGTCACAATATTCCTCATACTCGCACGAGGAACTTCGCCATTTTTAAAGCAACACCTGTAAACAGTCCCAAATACACGTGGTACTATTTCTTCCAAGGAGGCCAAAAAGGGCAATGCCGCTTTTAGAGAGCTGACAAAACACTGGAAAAGGGTTCGAATAAACCCACGCCGAACCAAGTTCTGTATCAGGACCTCACATACAAGAAGAGCATTCTCCTTTTTAAACTTGTATCGTCTCATGGTAGAGGTTGCGTGCACCATTTTGCTTGGCGGTGCTTCATGGATGACGAACAAAAACCGACACAGTGACTGACATATGCGAGTTGCCAGGAGATCCAAGTCTGTTTCAAGAGTTTTTGCTGACCCAAATGTACTCAGCAACGCATTCGCTACTCGATCGGGCAGTGATGCCACAAAGGTACAACGAGTGCGAAGGACTTGGAGTTCCATTGGTGAGGGTTCTTCGTTTCTTAGGTTCATTGCAAATTCGCAAAGGAACATCAATAGAGGAGTTGATGATGATACCTCTATAAGCTCGCTTTCGGATTTGCATACGATAGCCTCCGGCTGTGCGTCTAAACCCAGCATATCTATGAGGCCTTCTAATGCTTGCTCGGGCTTTTCGCCAAAAGGTTTCTCACGGCCGCCCGGAAGAGAGATTCTTGTAACTTTTGCTAGGGCATTTTTTGCACCCTCGTAAAGACACGCCTCCTGCAAAGAAAGCATTCCCTTATCTAGAGCAATCTCCGCCACAAGAACGGAAAATAAGAAAACAAAACGTAAAAAAACAGAAACGCACACTTCCGGAAACAACCGAAGACACGTCGGCAGCGACACGAAAGAGGCTGGTGCGACGAATCGTCCCCGACCGGCGCCGGCCGCACCCTCCGGGGATATCAGAAACAGCCCCGCTAACCGGCCCTTGGCGACACCGTCCCGGAAAAGGATTTCCAGGCGACGTTCCCCCGCGAGGGAACATCGCTGGCGGCCGGCGTTGCCGGCAATGCGGGGCGATCGTCCCGGGCTCTCCGCCTTTCCCCCGCGAGGCTGTCGCGGGGCGCTTTTCTGGCGTCACGGGGCGGTCTTTGGCATTAACGATCCGCGGGGCGCGGATTACATGGCGTACATGCTGAAGTATGACTCCACGCACGGTCGCTACGGCGGCATGGTGGAGGTGCGGGAAGGCGCTCTCGTCGTCAACGGCAAGAAGGTCCGCGTGACAAGTGAGCGCGATCCCGCCAATCTCAAGTGGAATGA